CAGCTGTGTACACCGTTGCATAGAATTTTGCTTCCACATTTAGGGTATGTATAACGCCCGTTTATTTGTCGATCTCTTTAAGGATCAGCGATTGCCATTCTTCGGCAAGAGGATCGTCGAGTTTAAGAGGACAATGGATAAGTGCTATTACCTTGCTGCTATTGGAGTACTTATCACTACTGTACTACTACACTACTGACACTTCCTTAATGATTATGTATTTATGTCCGCTGTTGTTTTTTTTGATTTTTTTTTATAGTATAGGGTGACAAACGAGCACACAGTCCACCTGATGGTAAGTGGCTGCTGTGGTCCATAGACATCTACATTTATCCTCGTTTGTGTATCAAAATGCAGATGCGTTGCCACCCGTGAGGACTAAGACAGAATGCCTCGTTTCCAGTAAAATGAGTCTCCGGTTCTCTACACTCACCATATGGAACACAGCAGTGTTAAGCTGCTATTTGACGTTGGTATTCTGTGAGAGCGTGGTCCTTCCCCGGTCGAGCCGACCCATTCGTGCTACAACTATACTACTAATATAGCTGCAGCATGGCTCTACCATGTAAAAACTTTTTTACGTGGTAGAACTAAAACTTAAAAAACTAACTTTAATAAGGTTTTTCTGTTGTTTAACACCAGTCTGTCTTACCCGGTAAGAAATTAATTGAAGCATGTCGCAGCTATTGACTTTACTTGAGAGTTACAATAATCATTTGTTAATGATACATGGTATCTTATTTTTCTCATGTCTTAAATATGTAGTCTATACTGCTGGTATCCTATATCGGTGAAGTTGCGCACACCATTAAGTTTTTCGAAGGCCCCTGACAGAGTAGTTTTTCCATCAATCTGAAAGTCAGTATAACTTTTCTTAAATCTACAATCACCAGTGATTGTTAACAATATTAGCATGAGAATATTAGCATCCTAACCGCTCTAATGTGTGGGTAAAGCAGCGCATAGCTAAAATTTTTGCTCTAGTAATCTTCACGCAACCGCCTTCATTTAAATCGTTAGAGTTCCAGTTTTTTGCGACTACTTTTAACGTTAACCTACTTTTACTGATTGTCATTGGCAGACTTAGTAGGCAGATAAACTAAGTTGTACCCTTCTTCACCTCGTTCTGTCTCTTCTCTAGTCATGGATAAATTGTCTACCTACAAGTACTGTTTTATATCTATGACTACAAAATTCAAGGTCAGAGAAGTCTTGAGACCTTTATGTCAGGCTTATTACCAACTCGTATTATCTTACCTGCTTCTTCGAGGAATTCTGATATATTACTTGTTATCCTGGTCATATTATTCTCATCTGTTAGGACTACTTTGTCATCTCCATCTGAATAGGTTGGTATAGCTGTTATTTTATATGTTTTGGCCTTGTTGTTTCCGAGATCTACTGTGCAGCTATACATAGTTCTGATGACTTGCTCTGGTTTAAGTCCTAGACATTTGGATATAGCTCTTACTGTGTTAGCTTGAACTAACAAGGTATTTCCAAAGCTTGTCATTAATTCGCCACTTCTTCTTTGACCATTACATAACCAAACATCTCCCTCATCATTTAGGCAAACTGCAAAACACATGTCTTTTAGCATATTTATCACAGTGCTTTGCAGATGTGGCTTAAAGAATTGCTTAACATGAAGGGCTTCAAGTATTCTTTCTTCGACTGTTACAGTCGCATTCCAATTTGAGTAATCTAGACAACCATTTTGTACATCCCCTTTATACAATTGGTCATTCTTATCAAAAGTAACTGTTTTAGAAGATGGGTTTTCAGGCTTTACTACTTCTTTGGTCAATTGGGAGGTGTTGGTCGAATACTTCTTTCATAAAGATTTTTACTTTTTGAGGGGTAGACCATTTATGTTGCCCTTATACATTTTTTCTTGGCCTGCATGATGTAAAAATTTTCCTATAACTATATAATGGGCCAATCTTGTGAGGCCATCAAATAAAGTAATAAATGTGGATTTAATTGGTTTCCCTCAACGATCTCTTCCCTGGATGTTCCGGGACTATAATCTATTTGTCATTCAGTAACTACTTTCTTCTGTTTAGATTCTGGTTTGTAGCGGACGGTGTTGTAGGACCCAGTTTGCTCTCCTTTTTCCATGAATCAATTTTTAACATAAGTGAAAATTCATACCAGTTCGGGAATTTTGCCATAAACTCTTTGAGATTGTGTCCCTGATCAAACCATCCAGTAGCCTCTTCATTATTTACTATGTTTACACTTCTTTAGTTGCAAACTCAAACATTTTCTTAATCCTTCCTTTCCTTTTTGTGTTAACATAAGGTTGATAATGTAATGTAGTTCTTTCATTACTTGAGGGGCGTACTAATAGACATTGTGTCCAGTCTTTTCTTAATAGCTGGATCTCTAAGCTCATATGTATACTATGTTTGGTCATACGTTGCATTGCCTTTGTTGATGGCAAAGATATTGTACACAGCATCAGAGATAAGTCTGTTTTATTGGCCTTTTTCAACTTTTGGTTTCTGTTTACGTTTCACGGAACCTATAGACGTTAGATTTTCAAATTTTGTTTTTAGCAGGTTTTACAGCAGGGTCTATTGTAATTTTACTTTTAGTCATTGCGTTAACTTCCTTATTCCAAATCTTGAGCTTTGTTTCATAATTCTGAGACCAACCCATACTAAATGCTGGAACAACTTGCCCCCACCTTTCCGCCAACTAAATACCATCAGCCTTTTCAAGGTAAAAGTAAAAGAATATTTTTGTGACTTTAACATTTAGGGCCGATAAAATAGCTGCATTATATTTTCATAGTATTATATAAATATCTATATCGTTTTATTGTATATACTCATTATATTATTTATTATATACATTTATATATACCTACTGCATAAATAAATTTCCCATCCTTTTTTGTTTCCATTATTTTATTTTATTATTTTGATAACATCTTTCTCGAAAATAGAAATAAAGCGAACATACTATCCTCGCGGGCGAGTCCAACCTCAATGGGCATTGCTGAAAATCAATGCTACCGCAATCCTGCGATAGCATTACGTTGAGTCAGTGCCCTTTTCAGCATCACATCACTCATGCAATCGGATAATTTTATGACTGTTTTTTGTTATTTACTTTTATCTTCGATGTTTTTATGTATTATTTTATTTTCTGTATCAAAACTGTATGAGTGTATGTTGCTGAATAAATGCATGTCTATGTCTATGTCTATACATATTTATATACATATATAATTAGTACATACAAATAACTATGAAAATATACATCTATTTGGCAATATACAAGGTTATTTTGTAATAACCGGCCAAATTTGTAGAGAAGGTTTACTATAATATATGTATAAGAAGCAATATAGGCAAATTGTAGAAAAATTAATTAAAAGAAATCTCAAATATTCAGTCCTATATATTTTTTAAATTCAAAATGCGTGGTAATGCATTATTTTAACTAATTTTACTGCGCCCGCACACATTCGTAAGGGTGAATCGGTAGGCAAAAACGTTGTAGCCTATAAATCGCATTCAATTTGGGATAATTTCAAATAAAAGTAGAAGCCTTATTTAATCGTATTTTCAAGAACTACAATAACGGTGTATCATTATAAATAAATTTGACTTTGAGTTTAAAATTTGACTACTCTTTGAAAAATAACATTGTATATGATATGAATGACTCATGTAAGAAGCATTGTCAAAGCTTTTACAAAAATTTACTTCGCAAATATCCGCGTTATAAAATAAAATGATGTGTCTTACCTAGTATGAAGAAGCACCTATACTAGGTAAGACACATCATTTTATTTTATAACGCGGATATTTGCGAAGTAAATTTTTGTAAAAGCTTTTATATAATGGATTTCCGCAAAGTAACGCCTGATTCTATTAATTATAGAAGCATTGTCTTTAATAGGTGTCATTACTAGGGTCCGGATTAATATGTATAAAAAATATCAAAATATGTACATATTAATATGGACTGAAAATCCTAAAATATGGGAAAAATATGTGTAATAAAAGGTAACGTGTATATTAAAACGATTCTTTATTAAGAAAAACCAAGAAAATACAATTTTACTGAGCTTTTGTTTCACTATTATTTGAATTACAGTATATAATTACATGTTTCCTTAAATTTTCGAAATTGATACCTTTTCTGTTTGGACGAAATAATGATTTGTAACGGCTGAATGATCTTTCAACATCACAAGATCTGATTGGAGCATTTTAAATTTGCATAATTCTACAAGTGAGTAGGGCACATCTATGGTGCCTTCTAATGTTCACACAGTATGCTGTTGATTTTGTTTAGGGTATGAAATCCTTTGTTTTTTCCAGTACGTAGCTTAATTTTTGCCTCGCTACTTCAGTAACGGGACCTTCTGATTTTTTTTCTCATCTTTAATCATTTAATAAGAATTTTCGAGTGACTTTATCTGGTGTGATAAAAAGCAATAATTGCTTTTTATGTAAATCAAATCGTTACGTAGAGTGTCACCTTGGAGAAGTTCTTTTGAGATTGAAATAGCAGCAGCTTCGTTTACCAATCCAAAAATAACAGTTTTGATTTCAGTATAATACTGTGCATAGTACTCAACTGCTGTCAGCCAAGTTCCCCAGCGGGTTAGCACTGGCTCTGGCGGTAAAGAAATGTCGGGATACATCTCTTTAAATTTTGAGATCCTGCTTGGTGCTTTAAAAAAATTTCCTTACGTTTGATACTAAACTGTCAACCTTTTTAAACTGAGACCTTATGCATTCAGTTAATCTATTTATACCACGTTAATCATGTCACAGGAATCATTTTTTGATACAAAACTTGTAGGGTACCTGCAGCTTTTACCATATGAGGAGCAGCATCGCTAAGTATCAAGAAAACTTTTCATGTTTAACTCCATCAAGCCACAAACCACTCCTTGCATCATTAAAGCTTTGCTGACGTTTAGTGGTTGCATTTAGGAAGTTTCCTGGCATTTTCTTCATCTAGACCTCCGATAATCACACTGCGAATGCACCGGTTTTTAGAATCTGTAGTTTTTTAGAATCTGTAGTTTCGTCAATGGTAATACATATAGGGCCATCATTTATATATTCACGAATCGAAGCCAAACAATTTTCATAAATAACAGACAAATAATTTTTCCTAAGAGTGGATTCAACAGAAATACGTTTGCCTGAGTGTTTTTCCATGAATTGTTTAAAAGGAAAATGATTCAATTTCCATAAGGGTATATCTGCACTTATCATCGCCTCACATAATTCTTTTGAGAAAGTAGAACTTTGGGAGTTGTTTGCGACTGCATCAGTAAAAAATTGTTGCTTAAATTTGTTCTTTCTTGTAATATTTTGCTTGTGTTTACTAGTACACACGTGTTGTGATATCAAAAAACGTTTCTCGGTGGATATAGATTTTTCATAAGCACTAAAAAAACGGTACTTTTCCAATTTGAACCGCAATGGTTGCTTTTCCTTAGGCATTTTTGCAATGCGAGTAAGTAAAGAAATAAATACACACGCGACAAATCGACAAGGCAACTAATTACGGTCGTCACTAACGAACTGTGGGCAAGAGCACGAGTCAGGTGAGGAAAGGTGGTGCAGGGCGGGCAGCGTGTGTGAAGCGAGCGCGGCGGGGTCGTGATTATTTATGATCGCTCGTATGTCGTCTTGTCGCAAAACTCATTTTTAGGCATTTCACAGAGCTGCTGATCCATCTAACATAAAATAATTAAGAAATGGATACATTTATTTAATGTCTTGTGAAATATGGATTTATACTTGAAATATGGAAAATAAAAATTGCATTTTCTAAATCAAAATTACATAATATATTTAATGGTTAAATTTTTTTACGGTTTTTATTGAGAGTCGTAAAGAAGGAGTTAAACTAGGCAATACGGATCCTTAATGTTGGCGGGAATTTTTAAAAACGAAATCAAAGGAGTCACTAATATAAGAAGAATAAACGCTTCTAAAGTGGGGGTAGTGTTTGCGCGGGCGATTAACACCAACGATTTTTTGAAAAATGAAAGCCGCTTAGAGAAGTATGATTACAAGGCATTTATACCAGCAAGGGCGGTAGAAACAATCGGGGTACTCAAGTATGTTGCGATCAGCATAAGTAATGAAAAACTATCATCGAAATATGAGGTCGTCGCAGTGCGTAGTTTCACAAAAATAGCTAATGTACAGATCAAGTCATTCAGTTCTGTAAGTGCAACATTTTTTTCAACCAACTTACCTGACTTTATACATCTTGATTTATTCCAATATAGGGTGCATCAGTATATTGCTTCGCTTTTACAATACTTTAAATGCTTTAAATTTAATCATGGAGCGAAAATATGTAAATCAGTGCAACGGTGTCCAATTTGTGCAGAAGAACATCGGTATACGGAATGTAAGCAAAATGCGGTAAATAAATGCATAAATTGTGGTGGCCTTCATGTCGCAGTTTCTAGAGATTGTCCAATAAAAAACAAAAAATTGATGAAAAATATAATAGTTCTACTTATGCTAAAGTCTTACAAATAAAACAAACTCAAAATTTATTTAACAATTATAATGAAAATTTCCCTTCAATACCTACATAAAAAAAAAAATAGATTCAAAAACGGTAGATCAATAAGTTAAATCTAATGACACTCCTAAAGTTCACAAATAAAAGACGGAAACTATCCAAACTAATACTACAACTAATAATAATGACACTCTTATTGACCAAATTATAACAAATGACAATATTTTGAAAGCAATTATTGGAGCATTAGTGGCCATGGTTAACTCAGGCCGTAAACTGACTACATCAAGTATAAAATAAATGCTTATTACTAATCTTAAAAACAATGAATAAACAATTTATTCGAATTTCACAATTTTATATCATCATTCTCATCATTCTCTAAACCATTTCCCATTATCTGGGGTCGGCGCAGTAAATCTTTTTGTTCCATTCCTCTCTATCAGCCGTCATTTCCATACTTACTCCTTTCATTCTCATATCACTCTTCACACAATCGATCCATCTTTTATTCGGCCTTCCTCTGCCCGTGTGTCCCTCCACATTCATATTCAACACTCGTTTTGTGACATGACTTTCATTCCTCCGCATCACATGCCCAAACCATGCCAATCTGCTTCCTCTCACCTTTTCTACCACTGGCGCTACTTTCAGGCTTCCTCTTATATACTCATTCCTTATCTTATCCATCCTTGTCACACCACACATCCATCGTAACATTCTCATTTCATTCGCATGCAGTCTATTTTCATCCTTCTTCTTGACGGCCCAGCATTCACTTCCATACATGACTACAGGTCGGATGATCGATTTGTAAATTTTCCCCTTCAGCCTTATTGGCATTCGGGGATCGCACGTTGTGGCTGTGACCTGTCGCCATTTCATCCACCCTGCGTTAATCCTATGCTGCACAGCTCTATCTATTCCGCCGTCGCCTTGAATGAGGGAACCGAGGTACTTGACATCTGAGCAGATAGGCAGTATAGCGCCATCCAACGACATGGGTACAGGACTGGAAAGACCGCCGAAATCACAGCACAGATATTCGGTTTTGGATCTGCTGATCTTCAAGCCAACACTTTCCAGCCTCCGTTGCCACCCCGTCAGTCTGCTCTGTACCTCGATGCCTTCTTCCCCGAAAAGCACGATGTCATCGGCAAAGAGCATGCACCAGGGTGCCTCATCCTGCAGGTCCGACGTCAAAGCGTCCATAATCAGTAGGAAGAGGTAAGGGCTCAGTGCCGACCCTTGGTGCAGCCCTACCGCCACATCGATACTGCCCGTAGTTCCCGCGGCAGATCGTACACATGTACGGGATGCTCTGTACATAGCACGGACCAACCTCACATACTTCCCAGGCATACCTTTCATCTTCAACGCCCACCACAAGACCTCACGGGGAACCCGATCGTACGCCTTTTCAAGGTCGACAAAAACCATGTGCAGATCTTTATGCACGCGCTTGTACTTTTCGCACAATTGGCGTAATGCGAAAATGGCATCTGTCGTACCTCGACCGGGCATGAATCCGAACTGGTTTTGTGTTATCTCACACTCTTCTCTCATTCTTCTCTCTATTATTCTTTCCCAGACTTTCATCGTATGTGACATGAGCTTTATTCCCCGGTAACTGCTGCAGTTTTGAACGTCTCCTTTGTTTTTAAAAATGGGAACCAGTATACTACTGCACCATTCCTCAGGTATTTGTTCTTCCTGCAACAATTTACCGAAAAATAAACTCAACCACTTCCATCCATCCGCCCTCAGCAACTTCCACACTTCTACTGGTATTCCATCTGGGCCGACCGCCTTCCCATTCTTCATATTCCTAACAGCCATTTTTACTTCTTCCACACTAATTTCTCTCACTAAGCCCATATTCACTGGTGGGTTTTCAAGCATACCATTCCATTCATTCTCCTCATTCATCAATTTCTCAAAATACTCCTTCCATCGCTTCTTTATACTTTCATCGTCAGTCAAAATCCTTCCAGAATCATCTTTTATACATTTTACATGTGAAACATCTCTTCCATTCCTTTCTCTCGCTCTTGCAATTTGAAAAAGTCGTTTTTGACCTTCGGGGCTTTCAAGGGACCGATATAATTTATCGTGCGCCTCTGCCCTACAAATAGCAACTTCCTTCTTCGCTCTCTTCTTACATTCTTTATACGCCCCTCTCTTACTTTCTTTTATGGATTCATTCTGGTCTTCTACGCTCTGCCATTCTTTAAAGGCATTTTTCTTTTCTCTCAAAACTTCTCTAATACTTTCACTCCACCACCACCCATCCTTATCTATCATACGCTTCCCTTTTGTTTCTCCTAACACCTTCCTTGCCACACTTCGGATACAATCAGCCATTTCCTTCCAGCACTCATTCACACTCATTCCTTCCATATCACCCATCTCTATCATCTTGTTTACAACTAGCTCTCTAAATTCACTTGCATACCCCTCCTTATGCAGCAAATGCCACTTTATTTTGGGTGGGGGACGATCCTTATGTTTGTTGAGGCGAACAGTTAAGCAGATGTCAGCCAGCAGGATTCGGTGCTGGGATACTAAGTCTTCACCTGGAAGCACTTTGCAGTTTTTTACACTCTTGATTTGGTTCCGTCTTATCAGAAGATAGTCGATCTGTGTCGCGTGGTGGCCACTTTTATAAGTAACAAGATGCTGATCTCGTTTTTGGAACCACGTGTTTACTACAGCCAGGTCGAAAGCACATGCTGCTTGCAGAAGAACTTCCCCCTCACGGTTCCGCACTCCGTACCCCCATCCACCGTGAACTCTTTCATACCCGTCATTCACTCTCCCTACATGTCCATTAAAATCTCCTCCCATATAAACATCCTCACGCTCAGGTATTCCCATCATCATACAATCAAATTCCTCCCAAAACTTCTCTTTCACACTCTCTTCACAGCCTGTTTGCGGAGCGTACACACTTACAACATTCACTACTTTGTTTTCAATCATTAATTTAACAACTATCATTCTGTCATTTACTCTTTTCACATCTGTCACTCGTTCTTTCATTCCACTATCTAACACAACTCCTACTCCATTTCGCTTCCCATCACTTCCACAATAATAAAACTTGTATCCCTCCCCAATCTCTCTTGCTTTATTGCCCTTCCATTTTGTTTCCTGCAAACAGGCAACATTCACTCTTCGTCGTTTCAAATTCTCTTCCTCTTCCAGTCATCGTACCTATATTCCAGCTTGCAAACCTCACTCTGACATTCTTCTCTCTCCGGGCTCGCCTCTTACGTCGCACCCGCTCCGTAAGGTGCGACAACCCTTGCCCACTTCCCACAGGAGCCGGGTGCTGCCCCTGCGCGTCGCCTGCGGGGTACGACCTAGCCCTGTCATATGTCCCACAACTCGTACTATTCATTTACTGCATGGGATTTGGCAAAAGTTTTACAGTCGGCCGCCTGCCTGACACCAACCCTCTTTGGGTATGCTATTGCTGGTAGAGGAAGCTACCATTTTGGGAAAAGGAAAAAGAAGTTTGGGGGTAGGAGCATAGGTGTAAGGATACTGTTATCTCGGCAGGAAAGGTATGAGAATAACAGTAGCTCGGGGAGCCGGGGTCGCGTACCCGTATTCCATAACAGGATCACCGGAAAGGTAGACCAGCATGATAACCCCCTGATTCACAATTTTATATACAATCTGTTAATAATAAAAAGCCTTTGCTTATTTTTATTTAATTGTCTAGGTGAGAATGATATAGATATTTGCCTGTTAAATGAAACATGGCTGCGAGAGAATAGTACTATCAACATTCCTAACTATAATTTCATTAATCAGAATGGAAAAAATGGACGTGGAGGAGTAGCAATATTAATAGACACATAAAACTGTATAATATTCTTTGTAGACTACTTATGAAAAAATCTTAGCATGCAAATCCTTAGCTTCTTAGCATGCAACTCCATGCAGTCAA